TCTAAGATTATTTTCTGACTAAAATCCCAATGTTTCTTAAAATCTTATTTTATTTGATTCACAGAAATCTCTCACCTGTTACTGCCGGTTCCAGATGCGGGTGTGGGTGTGGCACTGTGTGATGAGAGGAGAGGTCGGTGGTCGCTAACGGGTCCGTGTGATATCGACTCCCCCAGGCGGCAGCTTCAGCAGCAGCAGCAGCAGGTTTTGTCAAGTCGCACGTACCCGATGCGTGCATGCCGCTAAACCTTCCCGACGCCCGCATGGACTGCTGCATGAGAAGAGAACTGTAGTGGGGTGTGAGCCGTGACGGACCAGGAGTCATGGAGGAATAGGTGAAATCGTGCATGGACGGTCTGTGAGGATACGTGTGCGTTTGAGAGGAGAACGAATAATGCCACGGGTCTTGTAATCCAGCCATCCCGTGGAAGGATGAACCTGGTATGCTGTATGGGTCTGGATATGCCGCTGCTCCACTGCCCCCTAGCGGGTGGGGAAGGACCGGCGGCTGGTAGGCACTGTTCCAGAATGACGGAGGTAGGTTCCGTTGGCCCATGGTCGACACCTCTGAATGACAAGGAAGACATTATAATCTATGAAATAATTTGTTGTATTTTGGAAACAATGATCGTCTTACCAACACCCGTTGGTGAAAATCTCGTATATTGAATTAATTACCCAGAAAATTGTGGATTGACGAGGAATCATTTTACTCTGCTCGTCCTAATATAATTTTTACGTAGGTCATACAAACGTTATCAGAGGTTCGAGCATTTGATTTACTACACAAAATAAAAACAGAAAATGAATGAAAAATAATGGTATGAATTAGTAGTATGAATTATTTCAAGGAATCCACCAAAGGAGTCATCGGTTGAATTATTACGAAGTATTATACTTAAAATCTCTGAACAATACAATATCGTTGCGGTTGAAAATTTATAATAGTAATGGAACTGTGATCGTTTTCGTCTAACATTTGTGACATTCTCCCAGTTTAATGACGATAACCCTTTGGTAGAAAATCTCACACGTATAGGTTTGCTTCATAAAGTTGTTTGTCTTATGAAATAAGGCGTATTATAAAATATATACTAGTTTGGCAGAACCATACTGAACTCTTGAAGGAACGTAAATAGTTTCTGACAGCTAACTTATTTCCAAATGGGCATTTTTTTAAACAATGTTATAAATGTCTGTCTCAGTAAATGGTTATTTTCGGGTAACAATGGGGAATAATTGCCCGGGAAAACATTTACTCTAATTCCTTCATTGCCTCTGTGACAAATACCACGAAATTTATTTGTACTTGAAGGTTAGAGAATACAAGTCCTCTTCGATCAAACAGCGACCCATGTACCCTATCTCCATTTGGTCTAGTAAAATACCGCTTGAGTAATTTGATTTAACTGTTCCCCTTAATGACTCAGAGAAATTCGACTTCCGTTTGAAAAATCAGAAGGAGTTTTAAGCAAAACAGCACCCTAAGTTAGAAACGTTTTCGCGTTTACAAGACAGAAAAGGAAGTTGTAACAGATAATGAATCAATTTACAAAATACATGCCAAACCTCACTGGAATACAACTCTGTTTCCATTGCCGTCTTATACACCATGCCACTATTTAAACCGCTATTCTAAGACCACTATATTAATTGCGAAACCCTATTATTATCCTTTCGTCTAAAACCAATACCAAAATTTGGTCTGGGAACAATTTTAATTCATTGCTACAATGTGTGTTTATAGAGGAATGCGTTCATTTCTGTTGAAAACACACAATATCAGTTATTTCTAACCATACAGAAAGCAGGAGCAAGAACGGACGTCAGTGGTTATTTATCCAGATTAATTACGACAGCCTCATAATCTATCATGTAGGGAATACAAATAGAACGCCTTACTGATCGTGAAAGTAGCCCCTTCGTCATGTGTTCCACCAGGTAGATGATTTTCTAGCATCGAGTCAGGTAAAGTGGAGAAACCCTAGGTATATTTGATCTTATAGAAAAAAAAACGATCTAAGAGGAGGGTAATAAGGCACATGATGTATTTACAAAGAAGACGCGTTACAGGAGTGTTCTTTAGACAGCGTGTTAGCTGTGTATTTAATTTGTAAGCAATACAAATCGTTGACTTGAGTGGCCTCTACGCTAGATGCTCACAGCGGGAGTCGTCTGACCTCCCAAATGAAACGGTATTACTTGTATGATGTTCGAGCGGAAAGTTGAAAGAAGCACGCTGCGTGATTTTTTTTCGCAGTTTCACGGCAAATACACTACGAAAATAACATGGATTGATACCGTTCTTCACGCAATTCCTCTTATCAGTCAGTGGAGGAGGCAGATGTATAAGGAGGCACTACATTTTGTGTTTTTTTCTTGAAATATTCTATTGTAAAATAAATAATAATTATTATAATTATTGTTATTATTATAATGCCAAACGCTGCACTGATTAAAGAGATTGAATAAGAAGGGAAAAGCAATAAAACACATGCACCTTCAAAAATACATACAGTGCAACGCTCAAATAAAAACAGTATCAATCAGATGAAAATTGAAGGTATAGTTTAACCATACATGAATAACATAACACCTCGTCACAAAGGAGTGTTAAAATAAATCCTTCAAAAACTCACCTTTCCAGTTAACTGCCTTGCCATCTCCCCCTCCAACCTGATTTATCCTTTGGTTATATAGACTCAGTGATTTTGAGAAATGATCGTCAACGTTAGAACTAGGATCTCCCGTAAAGAACGTGTACACGGCGCACTTTGCCGATAAATACTGGGAGGCTTTTGGATGCAGGTCTTCGTCACTCTCTTCCTCTTTGCCTACTAAACCGAAACTTAATCCCGTCGTTGCTGTTGTGGAGTAATTTATGGCATCCATGGGACTATGGCTACTATCGTAAACTTTGTGGAGAGCAGCGAATTTCTGAAACGCAAGGGATAACTGGGGATTATTCATCTTCGTGTATAGAGAAAGTGCAATATATGGCAAGCCCGACATAGTTATACAGTCACTTACCATGGGACTTAACCACGAGAGAATTCCAGTCAAAATCCTTACGAATTCCCTCGCTACTTCGATTTAGCGGATAGAAACGCTGGGATTCCTAGTTATGTTCAAGAATGAGAGGCGCGTGCATGATTCTCGTGCATCTTAGTGAAACAACCAGTCGATGACATCACGACCATGCGTTGCAATCATCTCAAACCAATACAACTGGAAGTTCTACATTAACGCTTCATTTTGGCACCTGCCTTGTTTTGCGGAAGGTTATCTTTGTTAAAATAAGATTTCTTTGAAAATGGTACAATGAAACTGACTAATTGCGCTTTGCACTAAGCTATTACTGTACCTTGTATGTATCATAAGGCTTTTGATAAGCGAGATAGGAACTGTACGGCGTATAAGCAGGATGGTACATCACTTCTGTGCAAGTCATGTTGCTACGCAGTTCCAAGTGAGGTTTTTCAGAATCTCCCTCTTCTAGTCTTCTCTGCCAGCTGATCTGTCTATTTCCAACTGCAGGCTGGCTGCCTGTGGGCGGAGCGAACAGTAATCGCGTTGAAGGGGCCCGTGCATTGGTGTTGACAGAAAGGAACCCGATCCGGAGGCCCTGGTCGGCGCAATCACCTGCTCCACACCAATCAATATGATACTGCTACTGTCGAACGCAGCTACCGTACTTCCCTGCGCTCCCCGTGAGTGCAAGCAGCACCAGGGGAACTGGGAGACAAGAAAAATGTTACCCCTCTCTCCTTTTAATATTCAGCGACTTTCTCACACCCTTCTCTCCCATCCGTGAAATCCTATAGTGAAACTACCGGGCATGCTAAGATCAGCAATCAGTTTCGCGTTCCCTTTTGTCTGTGAAACGTATGTACATAAAGGAGACCCAGCATCAAGTTTTTTTCAAAAGTATTACTCTAAATTTGAAATTCCCTGATAATTTATCCCTTTCTTACTTTTATAATTCGTCACTTCAATTATACAGCAGTTTCTGCGCTGAGCATCTTCGTTTTATCACCTTTATTTGGGGGTATTATTTCATTTACAGGGAAAAAAACAAACACAGGATATTTGCTTCTGACGGCAAATATTACATGACAAATTTAAAGTCACAACTTTTTCGATAAAGGAAAGATATGTCTAAAACGTCAGATGCTAATACGATCGTCTTAATGAACATATTAGCGGAATTTATGCCTAGATTTCTATTAACGGATAAATGAAACACCAGGGGAAAAAAAGTAAGGAAAAAAAAAGAGACTCGACACCGAATGAATTAAAGTGATCCGCACGGAACCACGTTGGTCCACGGATTTCGTGATACCGATGCGTTACTAATCAGTTGATGTTACGCAATGGATGGCCAGCCGTCTGGAACCCTCTCCTTCTATCTTGTGGGGAACATACCGGTGGTTAACTGGAACAAATTGGCAGCACGTGGGAAGACAGGTTCACCCATTAACCACCGCTACATCTTACCTTAGAACATAAAAGACGTGCTGATGTATGTGTCTACTGAGCTGAATTAAGTTTAAATCATTTATATTAGTCGTTTCTATATTGCTGTTACCCTTTCTTTAAAAATGCATCTAATTTCTCGTCTATTGGAATTTTGTGTCAATCTTATCTACGTAAGCGCAAATGTGTTTATCTTAAAAGAGGAGGGACATTCTTTAGCAGTGGCAGTAAACATATACCTTGGACGTATCTATAATTTTCTCATGGTTAACGAAGTCACCTTATGGTACACAATGCAAAAAATCGATTTGTTTTTTCCTCAACAAGCATCACATTATAGTAGTTTAGTTAAGAATATACGTGTCAACAGAATTCAAAATATTCCATTCAATTATATCGTAAATACAGAAAATGCTTGGAATGTAAAAGTTTCGACTAAAATAAACAATTCTGTTGAATCGTTTCGAATCTTTTATTGGCAATATATATATATATATATATATATATATATATATATATATATATATTCTACTTTAAATAATCTAAGGAAATTAGTTATCGTGCATGTAAAATACACGGAAAGGTGAACAATGATCTGAAACGCCATTGGCCTTTAACGTAATTTCTCCTTTTAAATGAACACAAACATGCCCGTTCGTGAAATTTAACATATTAAATTTGACAACTTGATATAAACAATATTACAAATATTCCAGTCAATTCCAGTTATTGTGGGCCTATTATAGAACCTAAATCACCAAACGACTCCTCCTTCACAAAAACGTAATAGCAACTTAAATCAGTTACCAATGGGGCAATAAATATATTATAATACAGTCTATCAATGAGACTCGCGTTGGATTTATCCTCAAAACTCACATAAGACTTTTTGTTAAACAGGTGATAGTTGACTAGATATTGCTATCGGTCTCTGCAATAATCAGTGCATCCAGGTATTTAGTCCATCATTCCACGACGCTGGAAAAGACATTTAAATCGATGTTCAATAATATGCCCAGGCATTATGTATTTTGATGTCATTTTGCCGTTGAGCAAAGAGAACTGAAAGAAGTTCTGAAAGGTTTTGACCCAACGTTTGGAGTCAATGTCAATACACACTGTATAACATGTCTTATAAACGGTTATCCTCTGAGCAGATGAGATTGACAAATTGATAGAAATGCTGCCTGAAGATGTCCTGAAGTATCTGCCAAGTTTTCTACACCTTCTCTACTGCTGTTCTTAACCTGGGTAAGTATGGTGGCTGCAGTATCTTCTGTCATTTACGTGTTCTCCTGGGGTTTTGAGGAAGCCTGAAAAAACACAAAAAAATTTTATTCAAACAAAAAGCATTTGCAGAACTTTAGTTTCAGAGGCCTGAAAACTTAGGTATTAATTAACATATGACGCCCTCCTGTTTTCAGCCCAAAGAATGTCAATGATCTCAGTCTTAATTTATCAGAAAATCAAAATGTTAAAAATAAAATGGGTTGATTTACCATGACATTGTTATCATTTTGAATTTGAAGCATGACAAATACATGCCAAGACCCACCAACAAAAACTGTTAAAAGCCATGTTCTGTAGCTACTCAAAAACAATAGTGAAGCACAGATGGAAAAACTACTGTAAGAAATCTGTGTGAGAAAGGGAAAATTGAACTTGAAATGTATTGACCCAGGAGTTTGTGAGGTCTCTTTTTCTGTGTCGTTTAAATCTCCTAACACAAGTTCCAAAAGCAAACTACCAGTGGAGAAGGGTAATGTGAATGTGTTCACCACCTGGTCCCCACAGAGTGTAAGATCAGTGTTACAACAATCAGACCAGCATAATATTTAGATTCTCTCCTCTGAGAAGGGTTGAGATGTCATCACCCTTGTTACACTCCTGGCCAATTCGGTTTCACTCCTTGTCAGATAGCAAGCCTCCTGTTCCCTTTTAAGCCAAACCCCTTTTACTCTTTGTTAATTACAGCCACTTTGGGTATTGTAAATAAACAACTTTGGAAGTAGCAGTAATACAAGGTGCAGCTAAAGGTGTTCAGTGTTGGAGTGTATGATGAACACTTTTCTATTCCTTGGTATGCACAGGTAAACTGAGCCAATCTGGCAATTACAGGCTTTGCAACTAATCTCCTGATACCCTTTAGCTTAATGGATTAGAGGGAATGCTACTGCAACAAAGTAGCTTCCCCAAGTCACAGAGGAGGGGGGGGGAGGCTTCCCATAATACACCTCTCATGCTTGAGTGTTCTGGTAATGCAGGGATAAGGGGACAGGCAAAACAACACTGTATCAAACTACTTAAAATAGTAAAATTCATTTGGCAAAACTAGAATGAGCTTCTTTTTTGTTTGAAAAGCACAAGGGCGCTCAGTCAAAACAGACAAACAACTTGGTCTTTTAATCTATATTTGCTGATAAAACAATCTGTAGGCACTGCTGGGGAATTAAGCATGTGCTTTTGTCCATCAGCAGGTAGACTGCTTTCCAGATTCAAGAGGAGATTAATAGAAATGATCAAAATAAGAAATCTCACTGCCAACATCTTCTATCAACCAACATTTACTAGACTAGAATAGGTACACCAGTCAGTGATGATCACTTGATTTTTAAGATCAAAAATCATCAATGATGACAAAATTTATATTGTGTTCATAAATTGTTGCCGTAAGCATCTTTTTCTCACAGTGCAAATAATACACTTACTTACTTAGTACTTACTAGTTTATTCTTCCTCAAGACTTATTAGCTTAAGATACACATTTATACTCAGCTTCCTTTGAAAGCAAATATTTACTTTGTGACAGTTAAACTATTATATGAAACTACAAGCTAAAACTGTAATCAAATTTCTGAAATCCAAGACCAATATCGATATCATGGTCAATCTAATTTATCCCCATTAAACCCACTTGCCTATATCCCTAGCACACACACACATGCACTGACATGCATACACATGTGGGCATGCAAACACACGCACCCACACACACCTGCCCAACATGTAGCAGTGCCCTGTACATAATCTAACCCCTAGACCAGAAATGAAAGTATTTTTTCTTCTCCATCTATGCAGACTTCTATTATGAGATAAGATCACCTCCTGCAGAGTTCTCTTGTTTCTAACAAACTTCAACCTAATTCTGATCAACTGATAATTTACTGGATTCAGCCATCTCAGACTGACTGCATGTATACTTATATTAGTTGACTACACTACGTCTGTACATTCATGTGGTTTCTCTGAATAAGAAGCAACAGACATATCTAGCACCTGTCACAGAAGGAAACTGAGGCTTTGGGTATTTGTTCTATTGTTTTTCAACTCAAAATACAACTATTTTAAATGCCTGAATAATTTCATTAAATGGTGAAAAATGCCATATTCAAACATACTTATTATAAAGAAAAGGAAATTCCTGAGAAAAAATCATTTCAATTGGAAGTAAATGTATCCAACTTGCATTTTCAGATGCAATTTCTTCTCATAAACCTGGAAAAGAATCTAATCAAATTATTAGCTCTGTTGGTTTGAGCACATCACACAGCTTGTCTGCAGTCCTTGTTTGACAGAAAGGTATTGAAGGCATCTGTGGTTGCTTTAACCCCTTGACCACCTCAGCGGCAAACACATTCACTGATTTAGTAGCCATGACAAGAGAGCCACTGACCAACATAAAATATGTCCCTCCACTGCCTCTCATACATGCTTATGGTCAGTTCTGGCCCTGACCACTGAAACCAGGGATCGTGGTAATACAACTTCCCTTACCTTTGAGAAGAATAATCTATTTCTTTTTTTTTTTCAAAGGTGTTTTAAAAAGTTCAGAAATTTATATTGCAAGTCAGCCCCTACAGTCCTCTGTGAAGCTCTGCAATGTGTAAATAGTGATTTAGAAAAATAATACCCAATCATCTTATCTGAGATGAGAATGGCCAAAACCAATGACACAGATGGCATTGTGCTTCACTGAAAATCAGAAGTCTGAACTTCATGACAGTATTTCTGAAAAATTATTATTTAAGTCTAAGAAAAAATCATTACTGATTTAATAATTTTTTTAAAAGGATTTTTTGTATTTTTGGTAAAGAATTGTTCTTTTTTCTTGAGAATTTTGGAAAATTGGCAAGGGATGGATTAAAGGATTGCTCTCACTGAAAATAGTAAAGAGTAGAGAGGATGACAGTCTGGTTAATCTGACTTAGCATGGGCATGTGATATCTGTCAAGCTGGAACTCTGAGTTTTCATTTCTATTCAATTAAAGTGTGCATTTCCTGGTTTTGTTAGAGAAGTAACTGTTCCCAGTGCAGCATAGCCAACTGGGAGAACTGAGCTAAGTTCACAATCCATACTTGTCCACACAGTGTACAAGCCAGTAGCCCAGGGGAGGCATTCACCTGCCTTGCTGAGAATGTAAAGCCTGTGCTTCCCACCTCAGGTGTTATTTGTCAGAGGGGAATACAGGTAACTATGCCTTCAGCATACCTGCTGTCTATCCAATTTGCTAGTGAACCTTTAAATATACACATGATTTATGGCAGTTATAAAGAGCGAGTGTGTGTGCATGCATGTGTGGGTGCATGCGATTAACATTCTGAATTCAATTTATTTCCCGTTCTTTAAGATAATTTGGAATAGGTCTTTATTTATGATGGTGAAACAGTTACATACCACATTTAATTTTATTGCTCACATGAACTGCTTTACTGAGCATAGTTTACTAAGTTAATTTGGTGTGATGTGTTTGCATGTGTAAATGAACAACACTTTATACTGCTACCAATAAAATTTGTGAAATATGTGAGACTGTTAATTATTGAGGATTTGTGTCAGGGGCAGATTCAGAGATATTTTCTGACAGTCTTCCAAATTATCTTTCTTGATCCATTCTTCATTTTTGATCGTCTTACGACAGAAAAAATAAATACCCATCAATGTAAACTAAAAATAAATACCCATCAATGTAAACTTGAAAATCTAACCGGCTTCCAAAAGACCCAGAAGACGGCCTAAATCTGCCCGTCTGTGAACAACATGTCATACCGATACCTACAAATTTTTTAAATATGTTAAACTTAATAATTAAGGACTTGTTAATCTTTATTTGATACAATCAGGTGTTGGTGAACATCTGTAACACAAATGAATAAATTTCAAAACAAAATGTTCACTCAGCATATTTTTAAAATAATAAATAAATAAATAAATAAATAAATAAATAAATAAATATGTTAAGGCAATTTAACCTTCAAACAATCCTATCTGGTATTGCAGAAGCTTTTACAATCTAATATGTTCTTGGTCATCAAAAAAACAATATCTAGTCTGCAATCTTCAGTCACCAATGATAACATCATGACCTCTGGCAGTTTCCCTGGACCAGGGGTTAATTTTCCCCCGAAATAAAGATTAGCTTCCAGCTTGATGTTTTGAACTTCACTCTCAGTCTCTCTAGCCGCAATCTTGAAAGACTGACAGACGGCAACTGTGCACTGCTGTACGAGGTAAGAGGGAGATGATATAAATTGATCTCTCTTCCCTGGCAGACTGGATGTTACAAACCACTTGTTTTTAATGACTACAGGTACACCTGAGGAGTTTACAGGGTGACAGAATCCTTTAAACAAAATGCAGTTACAGCAACCTTCATTCCTCACAGAAAAAAGGTTAGAATTTTCACACTCAGGTTATCCAAATTTGCTAGATATCAGTTAATTTTTATTTGGTAAAACAGCACATGAAATATTTTAAATGAAACTGCTAGTCAACTTCTGCTATGGAGTTTTCTTAAAATTGCGTAATCTGAAAAATGTTTATAGAATTATTCAGAACTTTAAAAAAAATTTAGTGTACTGAACAGTTTATTTTAAACCTCCAGAATTTGTATACGACTGCTTTAGGATGTACTGCCAATGTAAGATAATAACGTTTATGCTTTTAAATAACACTACCTTGCTTTATTGCTGGTCAAAGTTGTAAACTTCAACAAAACACCACTACAAGACCTATTTAAAAGCCATACGCTAGGAAATGGAAACTGCATAGACCCCAAGAATCCTTTTCCATTTATTTCACATCAAACAATCATTTCCCTCTCAAGCCTTTTTTCTTTTGATAAAGAAGATTAGATGAGCCAGATGACAGCAATCTGTCTGAGCCTGCAGACAGAAATGTTAATAGTTGTAGCCGTTGAAAAGAGCATAGCATACACCAACAGACATCAGCAGGCTGTGAATTATTATGATTTAAAAACCATGAACTCAGAGAGAGCAACTGAAAAGGATACAGCTTAACATCAAGGAATAAATCCATTTCATTAATTTCTACTAGGCTTCAAATTTAATTTCTAATTTTATTTTTTCCCTTTGATTTCATTTTTAGTTACTATTTACCTATAACCTCATTAAAAAAATGCAACATCTATTCAGAATTGACATAACTTTCACTGCAAACATAAATAACCTACACACTACTGTACAAGTAAATGCCACGTCCTGTCTAAAAGCAGGCTATTTTCACTCTATATAAACAAAAATAAATACAAAATGTTAAAGACACACATTCAATAATTAGTAAAAGGATGAACTGATTATGGGTCCAAAAATATGTGCACTAATGTATGTGATTTTTTAGACGGGCAGTTTGTGGGTATGAAGATCGAGTAGGGTTGCAAATACTGATCAGGGTTCTGAAACTTCCATTGCTTTGAAGAATATGAAGATTTGTTTAAATGACAGAAGTGGCTTTACATAACTTCATGTTACTTTGTAAGATAAAATATTGTCTTTAAATAAAAACAATCAGTCTCTACAATGTTATAATAATAAAATTCAAAATGCCATACACAGTACCAAGCTAATACTATGTTTTCAGAAAGAAACCCTTTTTAGGGGCAAGTTTTAGGATTGTCCACTGAGAATATACTTAGTCGGACAGGAAGTTCATTTCCTAAAAAGCAGTCAAGCAAAGCAGCTGGGAAAACATACTACTATTCACTGAGTTGTCTGCTGCTCACCTCACTCACACCACTGCCTGCCTCCCCAGCGCCACTTCCTGTCTCTGCTGCTATCGCTGTCGTCTGCAACAAAATGGATATTTTATTCTGATGTGGTAGGACATTGAACACTGTTAAAGAAAATTGCTTATAAAATTTTCCTGTGGAAAGAAAAATAGACCACTCAACTTGGTTAATGTGGATGAATATTTATTTCAAGAATGGCCTTCAATATGGGCTTTAAAATTTAATAAATTCCTAATGCTCTCAAAAATAAAAAAGTCAGTGAATGAAGAAATATAATCTTCCACTTCATTTATCCAGAAGAACTATATCACCTTATCTAATGTTGAATAGGTGCACTAGAAGTTTAAACTGTATCAAGTTGTTTATAATCTGTTGGCAAATAGTGGCTTTGCAAACAAATTGAAAGTTTGACAACTAACACACAAGGATCTCAATTGTGCTCTCTGTCCACTGCTGAAATTTCACATTTATAGAGAAGCACACACACAGAAAAATCCACTCATTTCAACAGGTAAACTAACATTTTTCATCTAATTACACTCATACTATTTCATCAGGCTGTAACCACATGCACAGAAATTGTCAGATTACTTGTCAACATCTAATGCCAACATTATCTTTTATAAATAATTAAGATTTTCAGAAAAAGTGAAAATGCACTTAATTGAAATCATTCAATGACAGCAAGCCTGTTTTAGTCAATAGGGTTTAACACTTTACCCACTACAGAAGATATGAGAGAAGAGAAAGTTTTACACCCCTCTTGATTACTTCCTGCAGAATGTATCCGCCTGATTACACCCTGATGGCATCATTTTCCTACATATTTTCACTGCCACGCCTGTCATTGCCTGTCACAGTGTCATAATGTCTTTTTCTCTCTGACCTGTGACAAATATGCTGGACCTTAGAGCCCACAATTACACGGCTAACTGCTTTACACTAAGTATCTGCTCATTGCCATTGCTGTTGACGGCTTTACACCTCATATCTGCTGGTTTCCATTTCTGTCAAGTGGGAGCAACTTGAGCACTCAGATTAACAGAGTGATTGACGGCATCAAAGTCTTGTCAACAACTTAGTGGAAAAGTGACACTTCTATGTATCTGGGAAAGCAACTTACACAGCAATTGCTCAGGGTACTTAATTTACTTTGGCTTATTCGCTAATCAAGGTCAAGGGGTGCGTGGACATTTTTTTATTTCCCCTCCAAGGGACAAAACACATTTGTAACCTCAATTTGCAAAAATAAAATTTCAGGGCTTTTCATTCGTATAACATCCAAAAACTTATGCCAAAAGTCTTACTTTTTAATCTCCATATGAATACCATTAAGTAAATTCCCATTAAATGAAGCCAGTAATTATGTACATAACAATCATTGTGTATCAGCAATAAGTACAACAGAGTACCTGCAAACATCACAGAGATGTACAGGAGTATAAGTGTACATTCATTGGTAATGGGTGCCCCAGGTAGACATATCCCAAGAGCCACAGAATTTTGCTTGGGTTCACAAAATAACTTGCCACATACCAAGGCGGAGAAATAAATGTTGGGAACTTTTCTATGCACACAAAGATCAACACTGAACACATAAACAGTACATCAACCTTAATTGAGGCAAGTAATTACCTCTATGAAACATAAAGAAATAACTCCCTTAATGTTGGCCTCAATCACTCACAATTATTTACTACCCAGTTACCAGGTGCAATAGAAATTGTTTTATTTCAAGATCCTATTCATATACGATTTCATTTCTATTATTATTTTTTTATTAGGTGCAACAGAAATCATTTTATTTCAAGATACTATTCATACATGATTTCATATCTATTCTTATTACTTTTATTCATAAAAATTATATAATCAAGACCCCAATAATTCATACCTAACTCCATTTTTTATCTGTGCTATAAGTGCACATTTATAGTTGTTTTAGCGTGTAGGTTTGACTACTATAAATTACAAAACAATCACAAAACAAAAAAAAACATCTTTCAGCAGATGCAGTTTAACATGACATATAGAAATAAAAATACGTTCGTTACTCTTGTCAAATGTACTGACAAAAGCCAGAGTTCCTATTAATAGATGGATGTTTTTCCTTTCAATTGTTCTTTCTCTCATTTCCCCCAGACACAGATCTCTGGCTGGCCAACTGGGGTCTTCAATAGGTTTTCAATTAATGCTGTCAACATCTTAAAGCCCAGTGCATCTATTTTCTCATTTTTTCGAGCAAAAATAACTCCCACCATGTGTCCTTTTTTGCTATTATCTACAGAATGGGAAAAAAACATAATTGTAGCAGTTGTTCAGGAAATCCTTCGTTTGGTTGTACATCCAATTGCTGCACATCAATCTTACACTAAACTTATATTGGACAAAGCAATGATAGAAAATACCTGATCAGACTCTAGGGAGTAAATTCTTCTCATTTTCCATTAGTTAGTCAAGGCAGAAAAGTGAGCCTGCTCACATGATGAACAATCTTACCAAATAAACAGAACATGTGCTTCCACAAAAGACTTAATTGATCTACAATTTTTTTAAAATTTCATTTTAAGGTCACCAACTGGACACATCGTTAAATTTCAATCACTATAAATTAGATTACAGAGGCAGTTCAAAGTGAAATTAACATATAAATGTTGTTTTATGCAGACAGCCCCTCTTCCAATGTCCAACTTTCAGAAACTTACGACATCCACCTCCAATTTAAGCAGAGCTCTTACACTAAACCCATAAAATGATTTTCAAAAATTTTGTCACATCTTCTATCAATTGTGTTTTAATGAGTTTTAATACTTGCAAAAAATAAATCTGAATCATTATTAATTAATATCATTTCATCCCTGAGAAGTCAAGAATATTTTGCAAAAAGAACAAAATTTCCATGGTTCATCAGATCAAATGTTCTTAAACCACTTCAGTCTAGCCTTCACTATTGAAACTACAACCATTTTATGATTTGTCACATCATAAGATAGTTGGTAGTATTTTGTTTCTTTCAGGCATCTTAAATTACACAGATGGGGAACGAGCCGTCCAGGCATCTGAAGCCTGTCCTGGCAGAGGCTAGCTGCCCTCTGGTGGAGGCATTCACTCTACATAGTATTCACTCAAACATTTCAAACAGCAGAAACAGCTCATTTATACCAACTCATTTTTAAGTTGGTAATAAAATCATACATCATAATATGAAATCACCTTAAGTTTTCATAATTTTCAAGCCTTCTTTTTCATATATTATTGAAAACACACCAATTTGAGAGACTCACACATAACTGATAAGTTTAGTTTGAAGTGGAGTAAATACCAAGTAACCAAACCTCACCTTTCTCACACCTGCAGCACATATACTGTACATGGTGCACTGTGTTCAAATGTAACATAAAGAAATATATCATCTTACAACAATCTTTCATATTCTTCCATGTCCTGAAGTAAAGAACGCTTCAGCCATTTTCATGATTAGTGAGGTATTTTATGTTTGTTGAGCAGACAAAATACCCTGGCTGCTTGCCATACAAGTATAGATACCAAAGAGAAATATGAGAATACCACAGCAACATAAAATGCTCCTGAAAGAACCATATAGTTCCATCCATTTTTACCAACCTGTAGCACCTAATTATATAATACCGTGTAGCTATTTAGTCCCCGGTCACTTTAATAGCACACGCACGGCGAACGTGCGTGTGCCCCCGACAGTGTTAATGATAGGGGGATTACGATAGACAGCGCAAGTCGCTCACAGCGGGAGTCACTATCGCCGCTGTTAGGCCGGTAATTAAGTCTTTAACTTGACTAAACATGTTTCGCTTTGTAACTTGCGTCCTTCAGTCTTGCTGTTGCGGAAGCGCCGGCGAGAAATATCTCCACCTTGCCGATATTTATCCCGACTCCCGACTTGAAAAGTAAAATTGGTTTTGATTTTATCAAAGTCTTATTGTATCAGAAAACCTGCATATTTTCATACGTTAAGAGAATTATAGAAACTGTAAAAAAGCTACTCGTACATCAGGGATAGAAAACAAGACCTTGCAGCACTATAATCTATTATTCATCACCAGAAGTTCCTGTTTCACTTTTTTCTCCCAAATTACAAAGTCTGGTGACAACTGAAAGGTTTTAGCCATTATACCTCAGGGCAGTGAGAGAGTTGATTAAAAGTAATAAAATTATATATTTTGAAGAATTTTCCTAGCCTTCGGCAATTTCCGCAAAGCTTCGGCATGCGCGGCAATACAGATCTGTCGATATAGGTGTGAAAGTGTAATAGCACTGGTGGAATAACGGTTAACGTCGTTGCAAACGTTGTAACCTACCCGACGGGAGTTCGTACCCCAAAGGTACTTTTGAAATTTTGGAATTATCATTATTATTGATATCTTTTAATATTAAAACAGTTGTGGCTAATTGTTTTTGCAACGAAAAGCAGAGTAGGGAGGATTGTTGTAATTGTTAAAGTTATTATGACTGGGGACATAAATTAGTATGCTAATCGCTTATCATGGTATAATGATTGATACGATGGGTATCAGATAGTTTTCATTTGATATAAACGACGAAATAGCGGCCTTCCAAAGATCTTTGCTGAATGTTTATAACGTAGGTACTATTATGCGCACAAATATTGATACATGACGCAAACGACATTTACTCATTTCGGTAATATTAATTTTAATTAAAAATAAA